TTTTAATTTTTTGAAATTAGTCGAGTTGCCTTACAGTCTAGAATTTGATCAATGTATTGGAAAATATTCTGCATATGATTTTTGGTATTTGTTTGGTGCAGGCCTCCCTATTTGTCCACTAGGTCAAATTTGTTAACCAAATTCTTCATATCTTTTATATCCTTGCTAATTTTTTTGCCTGCATGTGCCATCAAATCTACAAATATGATTGTGATTTGTCTGCTTTTCCTTGTGGTTCTATTCATTTATACATCCATATAAACATATACATATCTTTATTGCTGTTTGATTTCATTTTTAAGAGGAAATAAATTTAAAATTGCTGTATATTTTTAAATCACTATGTAAGCACCCTTTTTCTCTCTAGTAGTATGTTTAACCTGAAATTAATTTTTTCTGATACGAATATAGCAATTCCAGTTTTCTTTTAGTATTTGCGTGATATTTTTTTCTATCCTTGTACATCCAAACCTTTTATATCCTTTTGTTTTATATATCTTTTATAAATAGCATGCAGTGCTACAATATCATTTTGTAAATAGTATTATTAGTTAGCTCAGTATCAACTATGCTGTGATAACTGTGGTAGGCAGAATAGTGACCTCCCAAAGATGTCCGAATCCCAATTCCTGGAAAATGTGAACGTTCTCTCACATGGCAAAAAGGACTTTGCAGATGTGATTAAGTTAAGGATCTTGAGAAGGGGAGAATATTCTGGATTATTCAGGTGGGTCCATTTAATCACAAGGGTCTCAAAAGGTCACATGCTGTGTGATCTCATTTATTTAATGTTCTTAACATGAGAAAATTATAGAGATGAGGACAGATTAGTGGTTGCCAGGGGCAAAGTTGGAGGAGAGGGTGTGACTCTAATGGGGATAATATCAGGGAGTTCCTTTGGGATGATGGAACTGTTCTGTATCCTGATCAAGGTGGTGGTTGCACTAATCTATGCATGTGATACAATTTATAGAACTAGATACCAAAAAATTTCAAAAGTGAGTGTAAAAACTGATGAAACCTGAAAAACGTCTGTAGTTTCATTGTGCACCAATGTCAGTTTCCTGGTTCTAACTCTGTTGTGGTTATGCAAGATGTTACCATTGGGTAAAGGGGACATGAAAACTTTCCATGCTTCTTTGTCAACATCTGTGTGAGTCTAAATTCTTTCACAGTAAAAAGTTAAAAAATTTTCCCCAATGTGGAGTGTCAGATGCCCAAGGCTGGCACTGGCGGGCACGGGCCTGAAGCCCACCCAGAGTTAAGGCGATTAGCCCACTCACAGACCCTTACCAGTCTCTAGCCTTATGTATGGAGGGGAGGGAGAGAGGTGAAAAACGCAGCTGGTCTGGGGGTTCATTTACAGTTTTACTGAACACCTTCTTCGCATCAGGTTTGGTCCAGAAACAGCGCTGGACCAGATAACCAGGCCCCTGGCTTATGCTTCGACATGGGGCCTGGGCCAGGCAGCTAGGCTGAAATGTGGCTCTCCAACTCACTAGGTGTGTGGCTGGCAGTGAGTTACTTAACCTCTCAGAAACGACCCAACTCTTGTGTTTTAGTTGTTGTTGTTTTCATTTGTAAAATGAGACTATTAATAATAACCACTTCATGAGGAGGTTGTGAGGAACATGTGAGCTAATTCAATTACAGCTCCTTTAGTAACACGTTTATGGTTCTTGCTCTGGAGGCCACTAGAGTGGCTGCTTCCTTTCGGGAAGAGGCTGACAACAAATACATGAGGAGAAGCACACTCACACACACAAAACGGGGGGGCCTGATGGAGGCCAGGTGGTCAGGAAAGGCCTCATCGGCTTTAGGGAGCAAGGGAGGTGACCATAGGACACCATGAAACCCAGAGACACTAGAGACACAGAGACATAAGACACAAGGAAAGGAAGGACAGGCCAGAGAGACTGAGAGACCAAGATATACCCACAGAGACTCAGAAACCCAGAGGTTCCGAGACACCCAGAGACCCAGAGAGACCCACATACCAGGGGGACCAAGAGAAACACAAAGAGACCAAGAAACCCAGAGAAATTAAGAGCCCCAGAAATCCAGAGTGACCAAGAGATTCAGAGACTGAGATCCAGAGAGACAAAGAGAGCCAGAGAGAGCCAAAAAGACCTAGCGACCCAGAGAAGCCAAAAGATTCAGAGATATCAGAGATTTGATAGAGACCAAGAGACCCAAAGAGATCCAGAGAGACTCAAAAATACTGAGAGACCCAGAGACACCAAGAGACTCTGAGACATAGAGAGACCATGAGACCCAAAGATACTCTGAGACTCATAGAGATTGAGAGTTCAGAAAGACCCAGAGAGATCGAGAGACTAAAAGACCCAGAGACAGAGAGTCACAGAGAGACAGAAAAGGAGGGGCAACCCCTAGGAGTGAAAATCCACACTGGCAGCCAGGGTCAAAGCCTGAGGCCAGGAGCAAAGCAGAGATGGATGTCTGAATGCTCAAACAGGGAAGAGCCTCTGTGTCACAGGAAGGAGCCTGCATCTGGGGTCCAGGGCACACCTGGCCCTGTGCTCACTACCCACCTGGCGAAGCCCACATTTCCTTCATGTTTCATTCATATGTCAGGAGGTTGGGCCCCTGAACCTCAGTTTCCCGTCTGAAAATGGCAATGAGAACCACTAAACCTACTTCACAGGGCCAAACACACATTGTGTTGGTCATGTGACTTGAGCCCACTTCTGTTGTCAGCAATGGTAGGACTTTGACATGAATTATTTAATTCTTTCTGGGCTTCCATTTCTATTAAATACATATTTAATAGAAAAGTCACCTGTTACCACCTCACACTCATTAGGATGGCCACTATCAACAAAACAGAAAATAACAAATGTTGGCAAGAATGTGGAGAAAGGAGAACACTTGGGCACTATTTGTGGGAATGTAAAATGGTGCAAGCACTGTGGAAAACAATTTGATGTTTCCTCAAAAAAATTAAAAATAGCATTACCAAATGATCCAGCAATTCCACTTCTGGGTATATACAACCCAAAGAATTAAAAGCAGGGTCTTGAGATACTTGTACACCCATGTTCATAGCAGCATTATTCATGATAGCCAAGATATGGAAACAATCTAAGAGTCCATCAATGGATGAATGGATAAGTAAAATGTGGTATATCCATAGAATCAATATTGTTCAGCCTTAAAAAGGAAGGAAATCCTGACATATGCTACAGCATGGATGAAACTTGAGGACTAATACTATGCTAAGTGAAATAAGCCAGTTATAAAAAGAAAATTCTCTATGATTCCACTTATATGAAGTACCTACAGTAGTTGAATTAACAGAGACAGAAAGTAGAGTGGTGGTTGCCAGTGGCTGTGGGAGGGGAGATGGAGAGTTTAGTATTTCATGGATATAGAGTGTTTCAGTTTTGCAAGATGAAGAGTTCTGGAGATGAATGGTGGTGACAGTTTCACAATAATACGAATGTACTTAAAACCACTAAATTTAAAAATGGTTAAGGCAGTAGATTTTATGTTATGCGTATTTTACCACACATAAAAGAAATTGGGGAAAAAGTCACCTGTCAAATGTAGAAAGTAATGTTGGCTCTGACTGGCCCATAGGACCGCCAACAGAGTAAAAGAGCCAGTGAAGACTTGAAAATGAAAAGGCTTAACGCTGTTGGTGGGCGGCGGTGGCTTGGTGGTCTTAAGCAAAGGCCTTTTCTACCAACTTGGAGCTGCTGGCCAGGCTCTCCCTGCTCCAAAGGATCTTGGGAAGGGGATGTGGCCTCTGGGAATTCTCATGCCAGGATAATTTCCTCTCTGGCTCCCAGGTTTTGGGATTTCTGGATCTGAGAAAAACACACCAACACATCCAGCGACCCTGCCCCAGCAAGACACAATCAGTGAATTATAATTTACCCATCAGCCACTAGCAGCAGCCCAGGCCTTATTTCCATGGCGTACCTTGGCTCCACATTTGTAAAGAGGTAGGAAGGGGGCCCTGCTGCTTTCCAGACCCTGGAGTCCAGCTGTCCTGCCTTCACCCCTCTTTGTAGGTGATAAAGCTCTGAAGAATTTACCTTGGGCAGCTGGGGAGGCAAGTGGTAGAGACCGGGTTTACTCCAGGTAGAGGCCTAAAGCCCCACCCCACTCCCAGGAAAGGACTTGATTGGTGGAGGGCCACGGGGGCGGGGCAGCTCTGGGGTTATATAAATGCACTAGCTGGCGGCCAAGCGTTATGCTGTAGGTCATCCCTGAGCTCAGGTAAGGCTTTTTAGGAAGGAGGCTGGCTGCTTGTGGGATCCTAGATGAAGGCCCCCAGGTTGACTACGGGGTGGTAGGCAGACGGCACCTTCTCCTGAGGCCCTTAGGTGGCGTGTCTCTGTAGTTTAAAATGTTTGAGGTGCTCCCACCTCAGCTTGCTCTAAACACATTGATACCATTCTTCTCTCTGGGCTTCAGTTTCCCCTCTGTGAAGTAAGAGGTTGGTAGTCCTGTCAAGCCTGCCACTTTGGGGCGTGGGGAGCGGGTGGTTATGAGTTGGGGAGCAAGAGGAGCAATGAACTCTTTGGTTTTGGAGGTCAGACAGACTCCACTTTTAGGTGGTTGTGAGTCTTCCGCGCTTGTTTCTGTGTTTGCAAAATGGTTCTTCGGTTTTACCTACCTACCAGGTAGGTAAATACGATGATGCCTTGAAAGCATTTAGCACAGCTCCAGGCACTTAGGATGTCCTCAGTGGTGCCTGTTGCTTACTCGCTGGCCTGGCCTGGAGTGCCAGGAGGAGGGGGATGTGAATAGCTGCAGCCTCAGGATGCAGGCTGCTTTTCTGGCCTCCCCACCCCACAGGCCTCCCAGTTTCCTTCTGTTCAGAGCTCCTGAGTCTCTACCCCAACCTCTCCACCTTCTGGAGGGCCTCTGTCAGACCAGCCTCACCAACCCCTTGACGTGTGGAGGAGGGAGGGAAAAGAGAATAAGTCCTGGGGCTGCTTTCTTTACAGGTCACCCGCCCCCACCCCACCCCACCTGTCCCCATCCCCCATGAGATGAGTGAAGCCCAAGACCTTGCCCAAGTGGTTGTCACCCAAGTGAAACTGTGGGGCTGGAGCCATGAAGGTGGTGGCAGTGGGTCTCTCCATTCCCGCCAGCACCAGGAGCTCCAGGCCTTCCTCGGCCTTCTGGGTGAGTCTACTTGGGGGTTGGCATGGGAGGGGCTGTAAAAGGACCAAGTTTGCAACAGACCTGAGGGGTAGGATCTCAGCCTGCCCATGCATGCGTCTGAAGTCTCTGTCCCTTCCCTTCCCAGGTGACTCTGGCTTCACAGTTGTGGGAGGTGGGGGTTCATGTCAGAAAGTGGATTTGGTATAGGCTTGGGTCTTGGAGTGTCTGATGCCACTCTTGTCTAGTGGGAGGCAGGTGGTAACCCGGTTTCTCTTCTCTACCCCAGAGCACAGTTCCCTTCAGGAATTCCTCTCCAGAGATCCCTGTTTCCAGATATCAGATAAGGTAAGGGGACACAGTGTGGGTAGAGGTTGGGGTCGCTTGGAGAAGGTTGAATTTGTGGGACTTGTATGCTGCTAATTCACTGGGTCCCCTGTCCGGTGGAGGGGGCGCCTTTCTTTTCAACCTTTGTCTCTGCAGGCCTCCCCCCACCGTTTTATCCCAGTTTATCTAACCCCTATCAGAACTTCCTTGAGTGCAAATGGGCCTGGCACAGTCCCCTGTCCCCGGTGCCTAACTCTAACCTCTCCCCCTTTCTGTATCACAGTATCTCCTGGCCATAGTGCTGGTCTACTTCCGGCGCGCCAACCTGAAGCTCAGCGAGTACACCCGCAGCAACCTGTTCTTGGCACTGTGAGTGTCTGGGCTGGTGGCGGAGACTCTTGCTCCAAGTTGTAGGATGGGGCAGGGCAGCTATCTATAGCCTCTGCTCCCCCCCTCCCCCGCCACCTCTGTGGTCAGGTACCTTGCAAATGACATGGAGGAGGACCTGGAAGAAGCCAAATGTGTGATTTTTCCCTGGGCCCTGGGCAAAGATTGGCATCATCAGGTGGTGGACTTCCTGCGTCAGAGGGACAAGCTGTGGGCACGGATGGGCTTCCGGGCTTTCGTGAGCCGCCAATGCTGTGAGGAGGTGAAGCCCCGCTGGCATCCTTGGGTCGGGGAAAGAGGCTGGACCTCCCACCCCCATTTACCATTCGCTCTACTCATGCCAGGTCATAGCCAAGGAGCCCTCCCACTGGGCCTGGACTCGGGAGAGGCGCCCCCACCATGGTGGGGCTCAGAGGAGCTGCCTGAAGGCCCAGGTCCCCCTCCCCCGGGGCCCTGGCCTCTCACCACCCCACTGTTCCCTCTGTGGCTTGCCCCCTCTCTGTAGCCACTGCTGCCACCAACCCTGCCCCTTGCCTGTCTTAACCAAGTGCCCTTCCTCAAACCCTGACTGGTATCACCCTCCTTCCCACACTTGTCCCTCAGTGGCTGAAGACCCCTGGGGTGGGGGCTTCCTCCTGGTCTTGCCCCCCCAGCTGCATCTGGAGCCAGGCACCTACACCCTCCACAGTAAGTTGGGGACAGAAGCTGGAGGGTGGGCTTGGGAGCCAGGGAGGCAGGTGTGGGTCCTGACAGAATGGGAGGAAGAGACGAGGGGCCTGGGGCCAGCGGGCCTGGGCACATGTCCCAGCTCTGCCACCTCCTCGCTGTGTGAGTTTGGCAAGTTACCTCTCTGAGCCTCTCTCTGTCCTTCTTCCCCCAGTCCTCCCAAAGCCTGCGTCGATGCCCTAGGCATTGAACTCTCAGGGTGAAGAACATCCCACCTGCTTGCCCATCGAACTGACGCGCTACTGGCTGTGGCCCCCCTAGCCTCCTGTCTTGGCTTCAGGCTGGCCGTGCTGCCCAAACCCCCTGCCCCCTCCTCCCAACCTGAAACTTCCCACTCTGACTTTGACCCCTCTAATAAACTCATGTCCACAGGACACTAACTATGCTTAGGCCTTGGCCTGGCTCCTTGACCCAAGGAAGGGGTAAGGAAGAAGTTCGGGGGAGGGGGGCTCTGCCAGGTTTAGGTATCAGCAGTTGAGACCCATGAGCACACATTCTGTAGTCATCCCGAGCCATTTTCCTTATAACATCATCTATGGATGATGAGATCTACACAGTGTAAATGGGATTGAATAAGATTAGGTAAATGCAGCCCTTAGAAGAGGGCTAGGAGCCTATTGGATGAAAAAAGCTCAAATGGAAAACAGCTCTATACTCAATCTAGAATTGCTTGCAGGGCCAGGTCTGTTTAGGAATAAGATTTGATCCTTGCCTTGGGCTGCAATCAAATATAATGTAATTATTATAATAGAACCCCCTCTCCCCAAAAAAACCCCAGTATATTTGTTAATGAGGGGCAGAGAAGGCTTTCCAGAGGAGGTGACATTTGAAGTGGGCTTTGAACAATGTCAAGTTTGCCCATGAGAATTGGGGGGCAGGATCTATGAGGAAGGGGATTATTGGAAAGAGCCTACAGTAATGATTAAATCTTGGTCTCTGTTGCCAGACAGTTTTAGTGCAAATTCCAGGTTCTTGTGTGACCTTGGAATGTTATTTAATCTCTTCTGTTGCTTCATCTGTAAAATGGGTATTATACTAAAATGGGTGTTGAATGAGTTAATCCTAGGAGGGTTTAGAACTATGTTTCCAGAATAGACCTCGCATGTGTGTTACTAGTAGAGAAACTGCTGCCTACAGAAAGGCCAGAGGGGAGGGTGCCTTTGAGGCTGGAACAGAAGATGGAGAAGGCTGGAGAAATCCACAAGGGTCAGGTGGCCGGAATCTAGATGCGATCCCCCTGAGTGCTCTATGAGTGGCTCCCAAGACGCACGGAGGTAAGAAAGCCTGGACACTGCAGATATTAGAAGCCAAGACACAAGAAAAGGACTACAAAGTATTTCTTTTTTTTTAAAGATTTTTATTGGGGACTTGGAGGATAGGAACAGCACTGGGGAATTGGGGGAAGGGGAACAGACAAGTTGCTGTCCTTTTGTTCTTCAGTCTAGTTGTGGAGGACGTTGCTTCACTG